AAATGTATTCTCAAAAATGACATCAGTCAATGCCTTGTCCATACAATTTGAAAAAAAGTTAACAGATGACCAGGCACCAGCCAAGTATGCTTGGGAGACAGATACCTTGTGCTGTAAGGCCCAGCTGGTTCCTACCACTCATGTAGAATTAGTAATTATAGGTAGTTGTACAGAGATTCCAGTCCCTAATAAAACATAACTGGGATACAATCTGGAGAATCCAATTTTCAATAGTGTCACGTGATGCAGAGCGACCCTTCAGAGTGACAGAGTGAGTCTGTCTTACAGAAGAACCAACTCAGAGGAAGTAAGGTAGATTTTTGGCAGCATGTACCGTATACCAGGGAATGAAGGGCAATGATAAACAAAAGGGCAGAACAAAACCCTCATTTATATGGAAGTTGATAGTACCTTCAGAAGAAAGCAAGATGAGGTCATAAGACTACCTTTCATAAATGGAGAATTAGGAAAGGCAACTTACCATTCCTGACAACCTCAGAGCCAAGTTATGGCAAGTAAAAAGGGAAAGCTGTGTATGGCCATTTTAATTGGAGATAAGCTGGCTAGGTGTAACATTATACTTTGCACAATGACTCGGACGGCCATTAAGAAGAGAGGGAACCAAATAAACCGTCATATGGGGCTATAGGTAGCTTGACAGGTGGGACAACATGAGTAAAAGGAATCAGATGCCAAAGCAAGCTCAAAAATCATAATACAAATGCAGAGATTTGACCCTTAATAGTACTTAATGACACGTGCTGATCCATGCCCATTTGTAAAAAAACTGAGAACTAGAGCCAACAAAAATGTCTTCGGATTATAGTTGTAGGCTTACACTAGAAAGCCTTCAAGGTGTGGTTCCCAGAGTTACTCTCATAATCTGGCTCTTCTATAAGATACAACAATAGGACTTTCCACAGTTACTCACATTTTACTGAATCAAACATTTTCAGGATCTAGAGATGCAACTAACATTGAGCCAAGGCATCTGGGAGGAGAAAATTTGTGAAAAGCCTGTAAATAGGTGGATCCCTACCCACCTCTTCTATAAAAATCCTGACTGGTGGGGGGCGTATGAGGGGATTTTATGACTTATTCAGCCTTTTGACTAATATTTTGGTAAGGATTTTGCCAATGGTATTAAATAAGGATTCTGGCCTGTAAAAGGTATTTAGGCATATAAAGCACGAGGCTTCCCTTGTTTAAGGGTGACTAATAAATGTGTCTTCTAGTCTGACAGATAACATTATCTAGATGACATATCTAGGGAGAACTGCTAGAATTTTCAGTCTCGATATAGGCCTGTTGCCACCAGCATTACCCAATTCAGCTGGAAAGTCATCCAACCACAGAGAACAACCAGTAGCTGTAAATCATCCTATACTTCTATTTTCCTTTCCAGAATGGCTTTTTCAAGATAGCATCAGAAATGCCAGTGCCAAAGTATATATATCTTAGTTGGTCCTAAGATATGTTTGCTTAGAATATACAGGGATTAGACAAAAAAAAATGGAAACACTACATGATTTGCAGGTGTGAAGACTGAGATTGAGCTCTGCAGGCACTTTTGCAGGAGTTTTCTTATTCCGGGTCACAATCCTGCGCAATGTCCTTTTGTCTCTTTCGGTCAGTTGACCATGTCGAATGCGTTTATGCTTATTAGATGACGGAGACTGTATATGCCGTCACAACCTTTAAACTGTACCTCATGACACGACAAATAAATTGTAAACTTCAGTCACAGAGGCATCAGTTAAACAGGCAGCAACAATTTGCCCTCTTTGAAGCTCAGTAAGCTGACATGACTCCATATTACTAGCAGCACACGAAGTGAATTACGAAAGTAAGGCTTCCCACCTGTTAAGAGTGTTACATCACTTCCGCTTTCAACACGAAACATGTCGTCACTTTCACACCTGCAAATCATGTAGTGTTTCCATTTTTTTTGTCCAACCCCTGTAGCTTCTGCTAATTAAAGAAATGCATTATAAAAACACACAGGAAATTTCAGACAGGAGAACTGCATTTGCTGACATATATACAGTACTTAAAAAGATCCATGCATTAACATCAATTTGCATGTATGATAAGACCCCAAGATCTATCTGCCATATCGAACAAGAGTAATCGATTTGTCTGAATTGTACTGCAGTTAAGCTGCATAAGCCACTCCATCGTTTATTAGATGTGGGTTTCAGTTTATTCCTCAGCTGTGTCTCAAAAGTATCAGTAGTTTGATAAAATACTAAGGTGTCTTGCAACCTGTGACTTGAAATGCCAGATCCTTCCAGATTGGAGAGTCCCTATATTTACCCCCAGAGAATAGTGTGAACCAAAATACCACTACAGGAGCATACAGAAGGAAGTCTCATGCCCAAAGTATCATGTGAGTCCATATATCAAGCTATTCTAGATAGGAGTTGCAATCAACAGAACTACAAGCACACTCCCATAGGTCTGGATTCTTTCAAACACCATATACCTATCAGGGTTTATACCCTTGGCTGTTGCCAAGCCAGACAGGGCCATGGTATCTCTGCCAGAAGCAATTCCACAGCATGCATTCTGGCTTGAGTAATACCATGTCATCCCAACATGACTTGTTTTAAAGCCCAACTCTGGACGAGAAAAAAAAAAAAAAAAAAAAACCCTGCAGTGGAGACTGTATTAATTACCCTACCCCTGTTCCGATGCTCTGCGCTATGCTCAGTCCTTCAGTTAAAAAACAAAATGCACACCAATTTTAACAATCCCATACTCTATCAAAAATAAAGAAAAACAAAGCTGTGTCTTTAGTTATACTTTAGGTTACAGACTAATTCCCTCTTTACCCTTTGTGCCTAGCCTTTTACAGTATATTCAGAGCGTTACATCTCAGGGTCATATGTAATAAGCAGTACATGATAGGACTATCATTGGATGGCTGCAGCTTTGGGACTGCCCATGATAAATAGGTTGAAGCAACCAGGTAAACAAACATGTAAAAGGTAAACTATGGAACATAACTAGCAATAACATACCGTTACAGAAAAGGGAAAGCTGTGTATGGCCATTTTAATTGGGAGATAAGCTGGCTAGGTGTAACAGGAAAAAAGTCATACAGGACTCACAAATAGTGCTAGCCTGGGAAGTGTCCATGGTACACAGAGATCTGCATAGTTAGCCCAAAAAAAAAGCAAAAGAAAAATATAGGGGTATGAATCTGCAATGCATGCTCTGTAGGTTACATAAATTGGACCACTACACTTTATGCTCTGTACATTTAATACTACAGACCGCTGCATGATATAACACTGTACTTTAAACATTTGCAGAGGAAACAAATAGTCTCCAGGCCCTGGAAAAACACTGTATAGATCTGGTACAAATTATTAAAATCATCCACAAAATTACCTTGAATTGTGGGGTCAACAAACTCCCAATGTTGTAAAAGCTATCTATATACACAAAATAACGGGAACTGAAGCTGCTATATCACAAATTGACCCACTATTATGGGAATTTTTGTGGATGATACACTACAATTACAAATATTCATACTGCAAGCTCAGAAATATATTGTCCAGAGTTTCGGCTTTGCCAACAGGACACTAATAAGATCATAAGGTCTTGGCCCCTCCTAATAGACATATTCCTATGCAAAGCCAGCCATATTAGCATTGAGTTCTAAGGATATATACCTGTGTTTTCACAACTGTTGGATTGAGAAGGGAAAGACTTGCAATTGCTGTCAAGTCATTTCCAATCTATTGCCCAATTGGGGAGATTTGCTCTCATTTATCCATCCAACGTCCGTAGTGGAAATAGACAGCAATAAAAATGTCATGAGACGTTCTAACCTTTCCCTACTCTAGTCTCGGCACCTAACTCCAAACTCCAGGGTTTTAGTGAAGTTTAAATAGTTTGTTTGGACCATGTTGGTCCAAACAAACCATTTATTTTATAACCAGTTGCAGAAGTTGTGAGCTCTCTATAAACTGTATGTATTATTTTCTCCATCAGCTCATCCCTCAGAGTTATCATCTTTTGTATCACTAGACCCTCCCTTTTAAAAATTGTAAACTCCAATGAGCAGGGCCCTTTGAATCCTCTTTAATTGTATTGTAACTTTACTGTCTACCTTCGTGTTGTAAAGCGCTGCTCAAACTGTCAGAGCTATATAAGTCCGGAATAATAATTATTATTATAAACCCTCAGCTACAAACAATATACAGGTCTGTGTATGGAAGTGGAACAGGAACTTCCCGTCACTCCTGGAAACAAAACAGTCTGGCTGAGCTCTGCTCAGCCATTCACAGGGACCTGTGCATTCTATGAACGAATAGAAAGCTTCCTCTGACTGGCTGAGGTGAAGAGGTGGGCAGATGACATCACTATCTCCACCTCAGCCAATCAGCGGAAGCTTTGTATTCATTCACACAATACAAAACTCCATGTGAATGGCTGAGCAGTACTTAGCCAGACTACATTTTGTTCCAGGAATGTAGCAGAAATACCCGTCTGACTGCTGGAACGAAGTGCTTTATATTGTAGGTAGTTGAGGTCACATACATTTTATACAGAACAAAAAGCCGCTGCATCTGTTAATGAAGTAAATAGATAGTTTGGACCATTCAAACATGGAATTCTGCTTCTGCTTTGTGATTAAAAAAAAAAAAAAGTTTTTTTAACTCTTTAGCTACTGTAGTTTACAGTGCAGGAAACCACGAAATGAATCTTGTGTTAAGAGAAATAGGTGGACTACCTTACATTTTCAACAATGCTAGTTGCCTGACTGTTATGCTAAAATGCTTGTTTTAGTGATTTGAGTCATTGATCAGGAGTTTTAATGTTTCTGGCTACATAATTGTTTCAGATTTCACAAAGTGCAGAAGTCACAGATAACCAGGCAACTAGCAATTACAAGAGGTCAGCAATAACAGCCGACATATTTCTCACCACACAGGTTTTTTGTTAATAAGAGCTGGTTTACATTTTGAAGCACACCTATAAGTTACCTAAATCAATGTCAGTAAATCCTTCTGCATTTAGGGCATCAGAAGTGTTTTTATCAATGTTTTCCAAGCAGAGACTGGCAAGCTGAGGTTCATCAAAGAGGCGAGCCTGAATTGTGGGGGGGAAAAAAAAAAATTACATTAATATATGCACGAGAAATAAAATGGTATCAGTGTGCAATACTGACTATTCTTTGAAGAGATAAAATGAAAGCAAAATTTTCCTCCATTTGACCTAAAACTAAAAGGTGATTTAAGAAAAACAACAGAGCCTCTTTAGTATCTGCTCTTCTGCCGTTTAGGAGACTTACAAGTTACATCCACTGTGAACCCCCTGTCTAAGAACACTGCTATGTTGGCTATGATCGGATATGGTGCCAATAGGTGGACAGATTTGCTGGGTTGCAAATCCTGCATCCCATGCCAAGGTAGTATATTCTCAAGGCACAGACAGTGTACTGAAAAGGATATTATGAACAAGGGATGTAAAGTAGGAAATACACGGTGCCTGTTCTCTGGTTATATAATTAGTTAGCTAATATATGTCTTTAGAGTTAAACAACGGCAAAATAAATAAAAATGTAAAGGACCTTGCATCTTCAGAAATTACAACATTCAATTGATCCAGAGGAAAAAAAAAACAAAAACACACACATATATACACAATTATGAAGAGCAGTCGAACTTGCTCAGCAGGGAAAAAAATGCTTCCTATTGCCAAAGACAATCAAATACTTCCTAAATCAACCTCCAACAATGTTGTTATTAAAGATAAATATTCGCTAATAAAATTTTGTCCCGTCTCAGTACACAGCATACTCCCTTCTCTGACCACCTCCTTCCCTGGCCTATTATAATAATATGGCCAGGCGGGAGCACCATTATTCCAGTAGGACGTCATATGATGTTCATAACCATTTAATACTGTTGTCAATATGGTGACACTGCACTGCTCTGGTAACAGTACTTAAAAAAAAAATAAATAAAGAAATTTCAACCCCCATCCCCCAAATACTGTTACATACTGTCACCAGCTTCACCAGATGGTGAAGCCATACTGCTCTGGTGACCATATGTTAAAAAAAATAAAAAAAAATTACTCGCCATGCCGCTTACTAAATATCTTGGACTGTCTACTTACCAAAAAAAATGATAAATTTAATTTGGGTACAGTATTGCATGACTGAGCAATTGCCAAAGTGTGACAGCGATGAAATCTGAAAAATGGCCTGGGCAGGAAGGGGGTGAAAGTGTCTGGATTTGAAGTGGTTAAGCAATATAAAGATGTGACCAACTATGAAAGACAAATTGCTGCTAAATAATTTTCTACACTAACAAAAGAACACAGTAGATAATTGTAACAAAAACAGCTGCCAAAAAGAAAAAAAAAAAAATCTTAGTTCAAACATTACAGATATTGCAGTGATTCCACAAAACAAAATAATAAAAATCATTAATGTAATGCCCTTACTGTGCAAAACACTGACAGCATGTGCCATAAAAAAAAAATAAAAAAAAAAAAAAGAACATTACAACTCTACAAGAAACACATGCCAATTTTATTTTTTGCATATAATTGTATACTTTAAAAAAAAATCATACATACAGCTGTGTTCAAAATAAATGCAGTCAGACATCACTAACCTGATCAATCACTGTTTTTGGTAGAAATGACATTTCTACATTGCAAATAATTTACTAGCAGGTGTAGTAGAGTAATAGAAATCCAACAGACCCAATGATCATGACATGCATGCTGCTGATTCTGTGTAATTGAATCACTAATTGAAAGGGGCATGTTCAAAATATTAGCAGTGTGGAGTTCTATTAGTGAGGTCATTCATTCTTTGAAAAACAGGTGGCAATTATTGCCCTTATTTAAGGAAGGAAGGCAGCAAATGTTGTACATGCTGGTTACAGTGCGTTTCTCTCTGAAATTCTGAGGAAAATGGGTCGTTCCAGACATTGTTCAGAAGAACAGCGTACCTTGATTAAAAAGTTGATTGGAGAGGGGAAAACATATAAAGAAGTGCAGAAAATGATAGGCTGCTCAGCTAAAATGATCGCAAATGCTTTAAAATGGCAACCAAAACCTGAACGACGTGGAAGAAAGTGAAAAAACTACCATTCGAATGGATAGAAGAACAGCCAAAATGGCAAGGACTCAGCCAACAATCAGCTCCAGGAAGATCAAAGAAGGTCTAAAGTTACCTGTGAGTACTGTTACAATTAGAAGACGCCTATGTGAAGCCAAGCTATCTGCAAGAAGCCCCCGCAAAGTCCCACTGTTGAAAAAAAGACGTGCTGAAGAGGTTACAATTTGCCAAAGAGCACATTGACTGGCCTAAAGAGAAATGGCACAACATTTTGTGGACTGATGAAAGTAAGATTGTTCTTTTTGGGTCTAGTGGCCGGAGACAGTTTGTCAGACGACCCCCAAACACTGAATTCAAGCCACAGTACACTTTGAAGACAGTGAAGCATGGTTGTGCAAGCATCATGATATGGGGATGTTTCTCATACTACTGTGTTGGGCCTATTTATCGCATACCAGGGATCATGGATCAGTTTGAATACATCAGAATACTTGAAGAGGTCATGCTGCCTTATGCTGAAGAGGAAATGCCCTTGAAATGGGTGTTCCAACAAGACAATGACCCCAAACACACCAGTAAACGTGCAACATCTTGGTTCCAGACCAACAAGATTGACGTTATGGAGTGGCCAGCCCAATCCCCGGATCTTAATCCAATAGAAAACTTGTGGGGTGACATCAAAAATGCAGTTTCTGAGGCAAAACCAAGAAATAGAGAAGAACTGTGGAATGTAGTCCAATCATCCTGGGCTGGAATACCTGTTCATAGGTGCCAGAAGTTGGTTGACTCCATACAACACAGATGTACAGCAGTTCTCAGAAACAGTGCTTATACAACTAAATATTAATTGATTCAAAGGAAAGTAAAATCTTCAAACATTTTTCAGTTTATATAGTGAATGTTTGAGTTTGTAAAGAAGAATACAAACACTGCTATTTTTTTGAACAGTCTAATATTCACTTTTCTTCATTTTTTTAGATGAACAACACAAATTTGATATATTTTTCTTCATGTTTTGATTTGGAATAGAATGTGTAGTGTTCCCAATGCATTTGTGTGTATGGAAATAAAAGCTATTAGAAGGATTTTGAGCTTTATTCACTTTTTTTCAACACACTGCTATTATTTTGAACACAACTGTATATATTTATTACACACACTGATCAGCCATAATTTTATGTCCGCTCATCTAGTATAAAAAAAAAAGTCCTCTTTTTGCCACCGCCAAAACAGTCCTGACCCATCAAGGCTTGGACACTACTAGACCTCTGAAAAAATGCTGTAGTATCTGGCACCAAGCACATCCCACAGATACTATTGGATCGAGTTCTGGAGAATTTGTAAGCCAAGTTAACATCTCAAACTCGTTGTTGTGTCCCTCAAACTATTCTTGAAACATTACTTGGTCCACAAAAATGTTTAGGTACGTGGTACGGGTCAAGCAACTTCCAAATGAATGGAAGGACCGAAGGTTTCCCAGCAGAACACTGCTTAAAGTATCACGCTGCCTCCACTAGCTTGCCTTCTTCCCATAGTGCATCCTGTGCCATCTCTTCCCCATGTACACAACATGCACACACCTGGACATCCTCAAACTGTGAAAGAAAATGTTAATTATACACTGTTCAACAAATTTTTATTTTTTGCCAGTTTTGGAAACAAAAGGATCCATTTCTTAATGAATTTCACATTCTGAGTTCAAATATAACAATGAAATTTGTCAATTGGCTCTAGTTTTTCTGTAAACGGAAAGTTTTCTACTATAGGCGTAATGACTACATAATGCACAATAATTATATAGATAGATGTCTTTCCACAAATATAAAGCAAGTGATATTGACTACATAACAAAGCCTAAATGGCATAATATATTGCATAGGATTACCAAGAAAAATTATAGCCATAAACTAAGTTGAATCATTTTAATACTTAGGATTCTCACTAGTTTTGTCTTCAGTTTGTGTCGGTTTTGCTTCTCTTGGCTTTTCTCTTGTATTCGAGGAAAGGGCTATCTCTTACAACTGCACGTGACTACACGCTTCAGGTTCTTCCTCACTTGACTCAACCACGAAGGATTCTGGTGCTTTAGGAATTGGTAGCCCCTCTCCATGAGGAACTGGACGTATTGCCGATGGAATATTTGGATAGTGCACAGATAACTTTTTCTTCTTATTTAGCCCTTTTACAATTGGAGGCACCATACAAAAGTAACAATTACTAACATGATCTGTTGGCTCTCTCCAAATCATTGGCACAGCGAAAGGCATAGATGCCTTTTTTTCCATTCAACCATTGCTCCAGTGCCGTCCCACAAGAATTGCAGCATATATGTGGTGCCCAGCTCTTGTCCTGGTCTCCTATCTTGCAGCCAAAATACAAGTTGTAGGCTTTCTTAATCATTCCTGTTATCCTCCTTTTTTGTGAGATAAAAGTTATTTCACCGCAGATATAGCAGAAATTATCTGCTTTATTCACACAAGTTCGAGGCATTACTGAGTAGCCTATATAAGCATAAAACAAAATGTAAAGACGCTGTCAAACTACAATCAGCTACAGATACTGCAGCTTTTATGCAGTGAAGTGATGCAATTAAAGGCTAATATTGCATCATCTCAGTATACATGCAATTTTCTATTGGTCACTAGTATCAATTGCGCAATATGCAGCTGAAGTTGCATCATAATTTTGAATGGCTTACGTCATTAGATGGGTGAATATATCATGGAAACTAGAGCCAATCAACATTTTTTAGGGTCATTTTCGGTTTCAGCACCCCAAAATTATGTAAGGATAGCTAATTTTATGCCCAAAACTTTTTACCTGTTGAACAGTGATCAGACAAGGCCCCCTTCTTTCATTGCTCCATGTCCAGTTCTGATGCCCTTGTGCCCACTGTAGGTGCTTTTGGCTCTGGACACAGGCCAGCATGGGCATCCTGACCAGTCAGACTATACAGCCCCATACACAACACAGTGAGATGTCCATTTTTCCTGCTTTCAACAACTTCAGGGAC